ATGCGATCTTGGACATGGGTTAAAAAAAAGAAAAAAATTCGTCACCTGAAACGTAACGGAAACAAGAAAGAACGGAAATGTGATGACAGAAATGTGGCGGAAACATGATCGTTCGTTTCCGACGCGGAAACATGGCGGAAACGCGTCCCGTCCATGGAAAACTAGATCACCATGTTTCCGCAGGGCGGAAACGTGACGGATATAAGCAACTTCCCGTTTCCGTCGAGTTTACAAAATACGGAAACACGTTATTTCGTCCTGTGTCTTCTCCCCTCCCTCTCCCCCTTCCACCATTTTTTTTTTGCTCCCGCTCTAACTTTCGCGCAAAGACTCGATTGGAAACGCTTGCTACGCAGGCTATTTTCACACCCGTCCCAGAAGGGTTATCCGTTGAGTAATTCGCGTCAGAGAAACAATCTGTCTTAATGTAAAAAAAGAACGGTTTTAATTTTGGCGAATGATCTATCTGACTTAAATTGTCTGTTTATCCGTCTTTAGAGTGAAAACGGCTGTCAACAGCCCCTAAACTGAGCGCAGTTTGTCTTGCGTTAAGTTGAATCATACACGTTTATTTTAGGCAAGATATTAGTGAGTTAGTTATACACAAGCAAATCAGCAATCGCAGTCAGGATCGATGGGCCCATAGTCAACATACCTCGCACAAAAGCTTTTACAAAAGATGGTTGTACGTCTATGGCAGTTTTGGCATCATTCAGGGCTTCAGCGTAATTCTCTGAGGAAAAATGAATTACACGCCCAAAAACACAGTTTAAGTTGACACTTTCATATAGTTCTTGATGTACTGTATCTTTTTAACTTTTTGTCACCTGGTAGTACTTAATTGACATTGCATTCCTTAGTATCGTGACCTGTCAGTATTTGTCCTAGTCGCGTTGTGTGTGCAGTGGCTGCTCCCAAAATCTTCTGCTATTGGTAAAAGTATTTCATAAAGCCGAAACCAATATTCTGAAATTGCACGCACTTTAGCCTGGGATCCCACTAACCCCAAAAAAAAAAAAGAACAAAAACAAAAAAACTTGCATAATTATTTTCTTGGATTGCTCTTGGAACGCCTGTAATACCCACAAGAAATTTGAAACAATGGTTATTCAAGATTTTGGGGGTAAACAATGTGCAATATGGTCTATGTGAAAAATGGTGAATGAAGAGCTACTGCGAGTAGATATTAGCTATAGGAGAAGCAGTTGTTGTGTAGTCTGTCAACTTTTATCAAGCAGCATTCCACAAAGCGTGAGTAGAAACGGCTGACGCTTTCAGTGATCACTCAAAAATTCTTCTTATATACAAGACCACTACTTAAATAGATCTTGAACGAGTTAAAGGTAAATATAACATACCATAACTAACTACAATTGCAACTTCTTACCCAAATTAAAATGCGCCGCCGCCCTGTTGCTATATAGTTGGGCAATCAGTTCTTTATCCTTGCAGTTCACTTTAATGCCCTCTGTGTAGAAGTTTATGGCACTGCTGTAATTCTTGTTGTTGTACTCATCGTTACCCACATTCTTGTAAACCTCTGCAATTGCTAATGCAGAAAACTAAGATTATTTCAGTGATTTTACAAGGCGTTTTTGCTAAAACCGATGTGATCATCATTTGCTCTTGTTTGGTCTACTCCAAGCCGGGTTTTTTTATCAGGGACCACACATGACAAAAAATGTACTTGTGAATGGGTAAGGTCTTCTTTTTAACCGAATGCAATTTTTCAACTGTTGAAACCATACTATGAAATGAAAAAAGCCTTTTTCATTTTTCTCTTCACCTCGTAAAGTGTCAGCATCAAACTGGAGTGTTCCTGCATCAGTAGCTGTGACATCATCTCCCTCTGGACTTCTCTCCATGAATGCTTTTAAGACAAGTGTAAGATTGGTTTCCTTTTCCTAAGAGCCGTTACTGGGGCCTTAGAAGAGAAATAGAGGGTTGCGTCAACTTGTTTTTTAAATGATATATTCATTACAAGATTCTTCCTACCTACGTATTTATCACAGCCAAAGAGTTTAAAACAGCATCGCTACTTCTAATTGGGGTAATTCGAGCACTGGCCTCTTTCTAGCCTGCGTCGCAGCCGGCCCACGCACTCGTCTAAGCCATTTGTATAGTCCGTATGCGAATTAGTGCACAAAGACTCGTTCTAATATCCTGCAGAGTCGCAAGGACTTAGTGAGCATTTCTGATAGGCGGGTTTCTTATGCCCCTCACGATTGGCCTAATTCTTACGTGTGCGCGACGGATGGGCGCAGTGACATGTCAAAATTCACAGAAGGGAGTTGGCAAGGATCGTTTACAATAAACAATGAAAGAGCAGTTCGAACTTTAAAGCCTTCTTCCAAAGAAAAAAAAATGCTTTGAGAGAATTCCGCCAAGGCCAGAATTTGCTTGTAAATTTGCCGACTGGTTTTCCAGCGTCTTCGAATCGCTGCAGATGTACTGCCGCTTATTGTGCAATCTAGCCGACACTCTAGCGTCAGAACAAATCAGGAAAACATGCCCAAGGCCAATGAAAGCTACACACATGTAACTATTCAAGTCCAGGCATTTCGGAGAAAAGCAAAGAACCTAAGGTTATTTAGCCGCAATAAAAAAGCTTAAGGCTTAAAACAGAGACAAAAGAAAATCATTTAACAGCTGATTTAATGGTAAACTGCATGTGATCAAATCCTGTCAGAAAACATCTGTAGAAACCTTAACCACAGGAACTAATTACTCATTATACATGGAACAGACCAGCTTCATAACCTCTAAATGTGAGACTCAAAGTGGCCAAAAAAAAATTTTACTCAGTCCAGGTGTATAATACTCCATGCGCTGCATAAACTATGCAAAAAGATAGCAAGAAAAACCTCTGTTGTTCAAGCTGATTCTAAGGTCACGTTTCACACTATCACGAGCTCAATCTCTCTTGTCACGAGCTGTTAGTCATCTTTGGCCTGTCAACACTTAAGAGGCAATGTCCCTAAAAGCGTTCCACTTGATTTCAGACTCGAAAACACTTTTGCCTCATATTTATATCATCAATACCACTATCCATCCTTATAACGAAAATGCAGTTAGAGGGTCGTGAAGGGGTAAAATGGGAACTGGGATTAGCCTTATTTTGGATTGGGAAAATGGGATTTACTCACTGGGACTGGGATCTAGCCACTGGGAATGGGATGAACAATTATAAAATGGGAATGGGATTTCTTTTCTTCAGTGGTCTTTGCTCCAATATTTTGAAATAGAAAAATAAAATTTCGTAGCAATAGACCTTGCACTCCTCAGTAGAGACCATGAAATCAGTATTTTTTCGCCTTCGCGCCCGCGGTCTAGCTACCAGGCTTACACGGTTGCATAGTTACGTTCTGTCAGTTTTCCTGGTCAGCGGACAAGTTCTGCAAGTTTGGATATGGCGGGAAGATATTGTGAAGGGAAGATAAAAATGGCTTCGGAGAAGGTTTCTCGCAAAATGGTACTAGAAATCAAGTACGTCAATGCAAATAACGCCGTTATACACACCGAAAACTCTAAAGTTTTGTTGGATTTAAACTGTAAACTGGTAACTGGGATTCTGGCAAAAATTAGCCTGGGAACTGGGATTTGGGCCAAATTTAGGCTGGGAACTGGGAATTGGTACCCCTCTTCACGACCCTCCAGTTAGAATGAGGAAATAGTTTATTTTCAGGCCCGTAGCAAGCATAAAATGACTGGGGGGGCTGAGCGAGTGGCCCACATTAACTCCCCCCCCCCCGCTTCGGTCCCTCGGTTAAAGCATACTTCTTAGTACGTGTCAGTTCACTACATTTGTCTACAGTACCTTTTGTTCTTGTCTCTAATTTTCCGTTTGTGTTGACTTTGAGGAAACTGAGAACTTGTTTGGGATATCATTCGCGGAAAATTTGCCAAACAAGTGCTTTCGGTTTTCTTTCTCCCCAACGAAGTCATTAGCTACGTTTACAAGGTCAGAGCGTCTGTTCTGTCCTTGTGAACATGCCACATCATGAGGTGGTTCAGTCTAGAGTCTCCCGTTGTTGAGCGCAAATACGTCTTCACCCGCTTTAAAGCTGAAAACGATCTTTCACTAACGGCGTTGGTTGCAAGCATGACGAGTAACAGCTTTCCCAGAGTAGAAATTTCGCTTAATAGTTTTCTGCGGGAGCTATCAAGGGACTGCAAGAAGGTTACCAAATCATTGACGTCAAATTCTGAAGTGTCAAACCCCACTGACTCTGCTGTCTGTGGTAAAAGCAAGCGTTGTTCTTTACACTTGAAAGATATTTTAAAGCTGTTGGTTGTTTTTGGCAGAGCAAAAATACGATTTCGTTCATTTACACAATTCTAGATTGCACAGAAGAACAACAGTACATAATCTTACTATGATCGACAATAATTTGAAATTTTAGCTTCCATTGACAGCTGTCCATTTTAGTGGAAAAATTCCACTTTTGTAGCAGAATTTAATTCAAGTCTGAAAATTTCTTGGGGGGCTTGAGCCCCCCCCTGCCCCTCCCCCTGCTACGGGCCTGATTTTACTGCCATTATCATCAGCATTTCATCTCTGAACGACCGTTACCGGCTAAAATATGCAAATTTTAGACGCTGTTATCCAGGTTTTTCAAGGATCGTTAACAGCTACTGCGGGCCGTTAAACCCTAGACCATTTGCACTCATTTGGAAGTATATTGCTTCTTCTTACTGTTCCAATACGATTTAGCCGTATTTCTCTGTAATCAGCAAAAACAGGTTATCTTCATTCTAGTAATTCAATTAAGTAAGCAAACTGCACCAAAATATGCCTCAGAAATTTCACAAAATTCTTAAAAGTGGCACCTAACCTAGACTTAAAAACATGTTTTAGTTGAAGATAAAGAGGTATTCTATCAATTTATGCAATAAAACCTGTGGCACAACGCGGTTCAGAATTAAAGTTTTCGATTCAAATTTGCATATTGATGCTGAATTTTCATTGCGTGACACAGGCTGCTTTGACAGAAACATTTCTCGTCCAGTTATCCAAATATTTGCCACGTCTTCTATTTTCCAACCAAAAACTAATTTATCTCTCTCTTCTTCCTTCTTCAATGATACCTGTTGTTCCAAAATTCCGCAGGTGTGCGTAAGATGCAGTTTTAAGCTTGATAAAATACCCAGTTATCCCACAGGCGGCCCAAACTCACGTTGCGAGGGAAGGTGAAATGTAACTTACATAACATATCTGACGTGCCAGTGTCGCGTTACAGGCGACCGTTGAAAATATAAGAGACATTGTATGGGAAATATATTACTAAGATCTGCGAACGCCAAATAACGCTAAACCTTACTTTTTCTTAAATGAAATAAATAAAAAAGTCTTACCTGCAATCTATTCCGCTGCGGTTTGGTGTCTGTTTGTCGTTTTACTGTTTTTTTTTGGCTTTATTGCGTAACCACTGTTACTCCTTTCATAGAACGAACTTCGTTCTATGAAAGGAGTAACAGTGGTAAACAGTAAAACGACAAACAGACACCAAACCGCAGCGGAATAGATTGCAGGTAAGACTTTTTTATTCATTTCATTTAAGAAAAAGTAAGGTTTAGCGTTATTTAGCGTTCGCAGATCTCAGTAACATATTTCCCATACAAAGTCTCTTATAATTATATTTTCAACGGTCGCCTGTAACGCGCCACCAGCGCGTCACATATGTTATGTAAATTACATTACACCCTTCCCTCGCAACGTGAGTTTGGGCCGCCTGTGGTTATCCCAACATTTGTGTTAAAGTGCAGTGTTCTTTAAGTTGTCAAGATGCAGATTTCAAATTTCTTTTCAGAACCAAACCTCTTTTACTTTACAATGTGGTCCAGTGTGAAGCAGCTGCATTACCCAGTATTTGATACGACTTTATCTCCATCACATTTTAAAAATGAACGTTAGATGTTATTAAATATGCGTTATTAAATATGCGCGAACAGGTCAGAAACTTTTGGACAAGAATTACAAGAACTGGAATGCGGACCGCGAATAAATAGTTTTGCTTTATTTAATTATCACTTAACAGGAGCACACATTTTTATCTAATTTAAAGACCTTTCCTAATGAAATTTCAATAAGATGGTTTCGTCCTGTCACTGTCTGTTTCTTCTATTGAGAGTGGTCAGCTATATTCCACACGCTCCTTGGTCCACAGTCCGGGATCCAACGCCTCCACTTACACAACCAGTTGGCAGCGAAGTTGGCACGCGCAAATACTACAGCGCTGATACCACAACTTCAACATGAATTTCGAATCGTGCAGCTTTAGGCAAATTAAGAAAATAGCGCGTGGAAGTTCGCGCAATTTGTCCCAAATGGTTAAAGTAGATGAATGTCAGCACACAATTACAACTCAGCTTGAAAACTTTCATCTATCAAAGTCTGGACTCAGTGAAGCGGAACTAATACTGTCAAGGGCCGGTCATTTTGACCTTACGAAAGATCAAGTACAACAGATGGTAATTTGCCCACAACATGGGCATAAACTCGGAAAATTTTGGCGGCCACCTCGTTCTTGCCAGTATCCATCGCATAGTGGACCAAGAAAAAAACATTGTAACGAAAGGCATGTAATTGGTTTGGAGACTGCGAAGAACATACAGTCGGTTTTTAAAGTCACCGTGGGAATAGGATCACGTAAGAATTAAAAATACCACGTGACAAGGCGGCCATGTTGGGGGTCAAAACAAAAGAATATTTCCTCGAAGAATTTACATGAAAATAGATTTTAGTTCTCAGAGGAGAGAAATGCTTTTGTTCTTGACCACCAACATGGCCGCCGTGACGTCACGTGCAAACCAGCAATACCGTAAAATTCCGAAAATAAGCCCCGGGGCTTATATTTTTCAAAGACCGTTTTTGAGGGGCTTATATGCGGAGGAAAATTTGGGTGTCACAATCGATTGGGCTAGCCATAGAAGTACATTTACCGTTTTTGCTTTGTTTTACTTTGTATTTAAGGGCAATTTTCCAAGTACAAGCCCCGTGTGCCTTATACCGGTATTTGGCGGGGCTTAATTATACACGGAGGGGCTTATTTTCGGAATTTTACGGTAATTTAATTTCTTAATTCTTAATCAAGATGAGTGTTTGTCTTCTTTGAGAAGACAAAGAGAAAAGGGAAAAAATTTTGATGATAATGATAATGACGACGACGATGATGATGACGAAGTACTGTAATTGTTACTGTTGTCATAAAAATTGCAAGATCATGATGAACTCAGTAGTTCACTCAATCTTTTCTATTCAGCAATATGTGGGAAGTGTAGAAGGAAACATAAGGAAGTGATGGACAAAAGTAGGAAATGGCTTAAGTTAGATCCTGATAAGGAAGAAGAATGCGATCCGCATCACAGTGCTCCAGCTTACGGCTTAAGAAACAGGTAAACGATCGTTGTTAGCGGCTATCTACCTCTCCTTGTAGACGCCTGCATTCTCCGTGTTGATGATGTAAAAAATTGACCTCTGAACAAACCCCTTAAAGGTCTTGGGATATCTAAACACTGTTTTCTGAAAGATCCGCATTTGGCCCTTTCAGGACCAAAGGTACACACCGGGTTTACTAAATTACGCGCTGCGGCATATATCATTCCGATTTTGCGACTCAACTGCGGTGCTCATTTGCGGAATGCGATTATTTTGAGGGCGGCGTTTACTTAAAAATGCTCATAGATTTATAAAAAAAATGGTTACTTTTGGCGGAAAAAATGGGCTTGCTAACTTTCGCCGTTCCGAACTACAAAACAGTGCTAGGCAGAAAAATTAGTTTCCCACACTGTTTTAGGAAGAGTGTCATGTTCGGGTTGCGTTTTCTTGGGTTGCGTTTTAAATAGGGGCAGCACTTCATCAAGGGTGACGCAATATTGCGTCCATAACATATGTCGGTTTACTTAAGATGTCATTTTCCAAAAGTGCCAAAATGTTTTGTTTCCAACTCTTGGCGAACTGTAGTGCAGTGTTAACAAAACAAATTTTAAAGACGCCTTTTATTCTATCAGGCTGCTAAAAGAAACTTTCGCGCCTGAGACCCCACAAACGGACAGGCTTGCAGGCGCTAACTGGACGCCTGGATGTTGGAGTGGGGTTGGTAGTGGTAGTTCGCAGGAAGACGTACATACAGACGAAATTCCTGAAGTATCCGATGACGTCGTTGCTGCTTTTAACGAGGGAATGGCGAAAATAGCTAGACATTCAAAAAGGGAAGACCTCACGCTACTAACATTCCAACTGTCCACGACATGGGAGGAAGCAATACCGGATGAAAGAAAAACTTGCATAGAGAAAGCAACGAAAGCATGTGAAGTAATCTGCAGTGTTATAGCTCTGAAAGACGGCGAAAAACTTTTTCAAGCGATACACCAGCCTACCGCGAACGATCTTGATGAACCAACAGAGGATCTTATTGCCTTGATGTCCGCATATCGAGATGCCATGACAAAAAATGTTAAGATTCAAATACTCAGCATCTACGCTTATCGGTATACCATGAAGCTGTTACAGAAATTCCACGAGCCTTATGAAAAGATAAGTTTGAGACAAATAAAAAGGGCGAGATCGCATGCAATGAGACGAGGGCCTGGGTCAAATGTCCCGAAAGTATTCAGCCATCGAGTACGTCTGGACACAAACAAAGTCGACCACTTTATAGATTTTGTAGACCGTCCTTATTTCTACCAAGACGTCGCCTTTGGAACGCGAACACTGACCTTAGCCGGGGGGAGGCAAAATAACAATGCCCAACGTAATCCGGACCGTGACTAGATCAACCATGATTATGCAGTACCTTCAACATTGCGAAGAAGAATCATTTGAACCGGCTAGCCGCTCAACCCTTTGTCGCATTCTTGAAGTGAGAGAGGCTTCACAGCAGAAGTCTCTCAGTGGTCTGGACAACATTGCAGCAGAAGGGGTCACATCTTTTGAGCGGCTGTTGAGTATTCTAGAAGAGCTGAATCAGGCTGGTGCCGACAAAAGAAGAGTTACAGAACTGGCAAAGAAATTGAACGATGGGAAAAGATACCTGAAGACAGAGTTTAAAGTGAACTGTTCAGCAGAGGAGAGTGAGTGCGCAGACCACTGCAGAAAATTTGCGTTAAGCGATTCAGTTGATCCATGCTTCAACCATCAGTGCTCACACTCACACAATACGGTGTGTGAACAATGCGAACAATTGAAGGCAACGTTAGACGAGATGGAAGAAAGTATAAAGAAACACTCCAGCCATCTTTACAAGAATTGCATTTTTCTTTGGAAATCTCATGCCTTACGCTCTGTCAACCAAGAATCTGCTAAACAAGAAGCCCTCCAAAGTCTTGACAGTCAGTCAGTCCTTGTTGTTATTGACTGGGCGATGAAATTTCTTCAAATGAAATACAGAGAGAAACAAAGTGAATGGTTTGCTAAAAGAGGCCTTAGCTGGCATATAAGCAGTGTGATCTCAAAAGACCAAGAAACGCCGAAAGCTAAGGTCCTGTCAGGCCTACTCTGGGACCTAAAGTCGCCCAAAGTCGCCTAAAATCGCCTTAAGTCGCCTAAAGTCGCCTTAGGTCGCCTTTAGTTTCCTTAAGTCACTAAATCATTCAAATCTTAACGAGGTTCAAATTGTCTTGTAGTTATTACTTTTTTAGTTTTCTATTTCCAGAATGCATGATTTCTCATAAAGTGTGTAATAACCCGTGTTCAATAATATTAGCCACAGACCCACCCCACCCCCCACAAAAAAACTCCCACGGTGACTTAAGACCCATTAATTTCTTCTTCAGCCCTCTAATCTATACATTTAATTACTTTGCACAGTTTACTACACGCAATGATTAGTCGTAAGCAATACAAGAATAATCATTCCTGTATTGTTTATGCAAAAATGACAACATATAGTACACAACTTTATCCAGTCACTTGTACAGGTATTTTATTAATTTCATCCGGGAGGTTTGTCTCATATTTCTGAGTAAAAATATTGTTTAAAAAGGCATTCAAAGGTTCAAGTTCTAGCTAAATTACATTAAACAATGTGCAAAGAGAGTAGACAGAGTAGTGCCCAGGCAATAGCCCTGGGGTACTGGATTTTATGATTGGGCTAGTGAACTGCGTTTTTAACTTGCCTGGAGCCCGTTTCTCAAAAGTCCCGATAATCAACGGGCCCGATAAGCTGTCTCCCTTTACATTCAAGATAGAGGTTTCAATAGTTTTGCATCTAACATGATAAAACTGTCAGTTAATGAAACAAAATGGAGTTGTTTTCTAGCCAGGACCCGCGCTCTTATTCTTTATATTTCGATTTGAATGTTTGATTTCGGGCCCGTAAAGTTACCGGGACTTTCGAGAAACGGGCCCCTGGCTGGAAAGTAAAGTTTTTTAGGGAATGCAGATTACAGAAGAACTGTAATCAGTCCCATTCATAAAAAAAAATTGGGGTTAGTCAAAATGGCTTTCAGGCTAGTGTATGCTAGGCAAGCTGTAAAGCTCATTTTCTTTGCACCCTGAACAAAATATAACTTAAAAAGTGAGTCTCTTTTCTACTGCTTTGTGAGAGTCCAACATTGAAAGACATTTCAAGTAACTAAGATCAATACAGGTAGGTTGCAGGGAGAAAAAAAAACAATTATTGCCGCCACAACATTAATCTAAATTTTCTGGTAGTTAATACAAGTCTAAAGGTCAATCGAAAAAAATGTCCATGTAAATTACCGACCCAGATTTTAAGAGCATTACTAATGATAAGTTTTTTCTCCAGCACACAACCTCTGATCTGTATTTACCGTCGAATTATATCCATCTATCATTGACAGAAACACAATCACTCTTATAAACTTGAACACTTAGCTTAGCTTGACCAGTCGTCTCTTTAGGTCTTTCCTTCCAGACAGAAATTCAAGCTTTGTAGCTTTGTACATCGAAGGTGCGTAAAACTGCTCTTTGTTTATGTTGTCGTGATAGCTCCCTGCCGAACGATTTGATGTAATCGACCATTATTGATGAAGAACGTAGAAAAGCGAAATAATACTGTTATTTCCTCCACGTTATGGCCGCCCAGAAAGTATTGTGTTTTGATCACGTGACTAACTGGTCTGGAGGCGGGAAGAGGGCGGGACCGAGAAACAATGGAAATTAGCTTGCGACTGCAGTGGCATTCTGGGAGATGCAAAATGGCGGATAGAAAAGTGCTCTTGTTTGTTGTCAATTGTACGTCGCGCTTTCGTTTAAAGATCTCCTTTTAAATGAAAATTTCTGACATAATGATGGAAACGTTTACACTTGGTACTGCCATCGGTTTAAACATGAGGTATAATGCTTCCTTTTGTGCTGAGAGCGTAAACGCTGGCGCGTTGAACAGACCGAGCGAGGTTGGTTGAAGCTAAGCTTAGTTGTTTCTGCTGGTGCATAAATGCACTCATGAAATCAACCCGACTGGAAAGTTTCCAGAGAGACCATGGATAAGGGAGTACGGTTCACTAGTGAAGCAAGCATTTGGAAGTGTTTTGTTTGACTGAGACAGAAAAGGAGCAATATATATATACGGCGAGAACTACAAACTTTTTGTTTTGAATTCAATTGGAAAAACATCCTCTTAGCCAAACGTGTGGGGACAAACATTGGCAGAGCAACTGCCAAGACATACAATGGGGATCGTCATTTCCATAATGTGCGATATCGATAAGTGATTTTAGGTGTTTTAAATTAATTACTTAAATATTTGTTGTCAAATTATGAAAAAAAAAGACACTGTCATATAAAGTTTTCGCTACAAACCAGCTTACAGTATTTTACAGAGATGTATTGAAATACTCTACTTTTAGGGTTTTATTTTTTGGAAAAAGAAATGCAGGAACCTTAGATTTTTTGTCCCTTATATTATAAAATAATGCATTTAAAGACCAAGAGAAAATTTACCCTTTTGGTTGCTTCTAACTCAGATTTTGTCTCTGTTAATGTAATACTAAACCAATACCCTTGATATTAGCCTGTGCCACGGATGGAACTAAACTCTGGGTCAAGTCCATCTGCAAAACAGCGGCAAAATCCTAGTTCTGGGCCCCCTGTGTGTGTATCAGGATTAGAGAACATGCCAGGACTGGACTGTTAAAAATGCCATTGTCCACTTGCCAATCATGTTGAAGGAAAACTCAAATTGCTGGTAATTCATTTAGTCCTTCAGGGCCCAGAACAAGGATATTAGAGCTGCTTCGCAAATGTTACTAACCAGGGTTAGAATACACCTGCAACACAAGCTACCTTGATATTTAATGTTCAAAATTTTAGGTGGCTGAGATTGTTGAAAATGTGGAAGACTAATGTAGATGTCTTCAAGACGGAATTAACTTATGCTACAACATTGTGTCCCTAGAGAGGAAGACAAGTGTTATCAGATTTTGATTTTGTCTATGTTGTATTTCCTTTTTTATTTCAGTTAATTTTTATTTCTCCATCGTTTCTGGGTATGGTTATGTATGCTAATGAATTTAAAACAAAGGAAAACCAAAAATTAACTGAAATTAAAAATTAACTGCAACATATTCACTAACATGTTACTCACCTAAATGTCTCCTTTTTCTCCTTAAGTCGCCTAAAATTGTCTTAAATCGCCTAAAGTCGCCTTAAATCGCCTTAAGTCGCGCAACATTTTGACCAAATTTTCCTAAAGTCGCCTAAAATTACGGCGACTTAAGATCCCAGAGTAGGCCTCCTGTCTTATGCCCATTTATTAGATTCGTGTTGTCAAGATTGGTATGCGGTTGTATCTATTTTAGAAAATCTTTTTCAAAACATCAAAATAAATTTTCCAAATGTTAAGCACGCATTTCTACGTTCTGACGAGGCTGGCTGCTACCATTGCAATCACCTAATAGCAGCAGTCAAAGAGATTGGAGATCGAGTGGGAATTACAGTTGCACGTTATGATTTTTCAGAACCCCAGCAAGGAAAGGATGTTTGTGACAGGGTGCTTTGTCCCATGAAAGCAGCCATAAGAAAGAATTGCGCGGAAGGCCATGACATAATGAACGTAGGAGCAATGCACGAGGCCCTTAAGGAACGGCCTGTCAAAGGAACGACAGCGGCTGTAGCCATTTTGGATGAGTCACCCAAAATTCTTAAGGTTCAGAAGATAAAACAATTTAGTGAGTTACACAACTTTAGATACGAAGAGAGTGGGATAAGAGTGTGGAAAGCTTACGCTGTTGGGGTCGGCAAGCTTATCCCTTGGCAATCTTTGTACATACAGCACCAGCGGGGCTGCACAAATATATCATTAATGGAGGGAAAAGGATTCTTCACCAACATAGAAATAAGAGACCTTCATCGCCCAAGAAAGTGTCAAGCAAGGAAAGACCACGTTGACATTGATGATCAGCCATCGATGTTTGTGTGCCCTGAAGAAGGCTGTAACTGCACTTTTGACTCTTTCTCCGAACTTGAGTTGCATACAGACGTAGGAATACATGATAACAGGAAGTCGGAAAGTCTTTATGATAAAGTACGGAAAAACTGGGCTGAAAAATTTTCTTCTATTGAGAACCAGAAGTTAACAAGCAAATCCTCCACTGGTCTGACTGTTAACAGCACAAATTCTCGTCTAAGTATCGTATGGGCTCTTAACAAAGGTAGAACTGGCGGAGTTCGTTTTTCTGAGAACGTGAGACAGTACCTTAACAACAAGGTTTGAAATGGGAGAAAGAACGGGCAAAAAAGCCAATCTAGAAGAGATCGAACGTCAAATGCGCAACGCCAGAAATGAACGGAATAAAAGATTGTTTCAAAGAGAGGAGTGGCTCACCAAGACCCAAATAATGGGGTTTTGTTTCACGCCTCGCTTCACGGCAGAGAACTCGCGATCAGGATGCTACATTAAAGGAACAGACATTTGATATTACAGCAGATGAGAATGACGACATCGACGCCTTCATTGGAGACTCTGATCGCAACAATTTGCTTGACGACATTCAAAGCAGAATTGGACTAGAGCATCCGATAGTATATGACGTATATATCAAGACTATTCTTCGGCACTTTGAAGTACCTTTCCGAGCAAAAGATAGAAAGGCAGACCTTATTAGGTTGTTAACGGAGGTTATCCAAGAATGCAACTGCTGAATAGAGTCTACTGTCCCTTTTATCAAACAAAAGGGACAACAATATTTCTTCTTGTAACTGAATCAATTGAGCTTCTATTGTGCAAGTCTTAGTTAATTTTTTTTCCGAAAATTCTTTGGCATGTTGAGTTTTTTCGTATTTGTTATGTGACTTTTACGCGATGACACGAAACGGAGACGCTTAATTCGATAAAATCTTAAAATATTTTCTTATAAACCCGCCAATCGAACACTGTCGAGCTCACTTAACTCACTGTCCATCACGGAATAACCAAAGTTCGAGAAATCAAAATTCCAACTAGAATTCAAGGCTCCCTCTTCAACTGTCCAGTCTGTCTCGGAATTCCCAGAAGAGAAAGCACATAGAATAACAAACCAAATACAGACTGAAATATGACCATTATGACTCATGCTAGAGTGTTCATATATCGAACTTAAGCTACTGACAACGTGTAGCACGGCCTATTATATTTGCGATTAGTGGTTGGTTGATTCATCACGCCTTAATAATGTACTATATGACCTACTATTACTAAAATTGCTTAAGTTAAGGTATCTAGACATTGACTGTACACATTTCACCGTTTTCAAGCGAAAATAGCAATCAGTTTAGTCGTGATGGGAATTCATAAACATGTAATTAAAATGTGGACTAGACGTGAATAGACACCCTATTGTGGTTTTCGATTTCTCGGCTTTTGGGGTCCAATCCTCATTTTCACAACTTATCTTTAAGGACTACCGTGTACTCTCGTCCCATACAGCGTAAAGGTCAATTCGTGAAGGACTTGCCGGCTGTAAAATGTAAATACTTAATTTTACCTGTAAAAAAAATGTTCCCTAAAAACGCAACTGTTGTATGTCGAATAAAGCACGTACGGAAGGGCGAGACTAACAAAGGTTAGTGGCAAAGGTAAGTAAACTTAATGGTCTACACTTCCGTTCAGTTTTCCTGTAAATAAAGTACAAAAAAAGTTGCCTAATGGCATTTTTTATTATTTTTAAGCTTAATAATATCAATAATTATAACAAAATATTACAACAAGCAAATGCGATGACCTTTCTCGCCTGTGACTATGCTTCCAATGAAAGCGATAAAACGATTTATTTAGTAAATAAAAATTAAGGTTTGGCTGCTGAACTTTTAGGAATAATTATATTTCTGAAGATATATTTGTTGAAAAAGGAAGAAGAGGAAGAAAAATATTTTTTTTCGGTTAAAAAAACATATTTTACTTCCTAGCGGCAAGTATTTTGAGAAATTTCCCGTCGAAGCAGCCGGTGTCACGCAACGCGAATTCTGCATCAATATGTAAATTTGAGTCGAAACCTTCAAGTCTGAATCGCGTTGTGCCACAAGTTTTATTGCATAAATTGATAGAATACCTCTTTATCTTTCACTAAAACATGTTTTTAGGTCTAGGTTAGGTGCCACTTTTAAGAATTTTGTGAAATTTCTGAGGCATATTTTGGTGCAGTTTGCTTACTTAATTGAATTACTAGAATAAAGATAACCTGTTTTTGCTGATTACAGAGAGATACGGCTAAATCGTATTGGAACAGTAAGAAGAAGCAATATACTTCCAAATGAGTGCAAATGGTCTAGGTTTTAACGGCCCGCAGTAGCTTTTAACGATCGTTAAAAACCTCAATAACAGCGTCTAAAATTTGCATATTTTAGCCGGTAACGGTCGTTCAGAGATGAAATGCTGATAATGGCAGTAAAATAAACTATTTCCTCATTCTAACTGCATTTTCGTTATAAGGATGGATAGTGGTATTGATGATATAAATATAAGGCAAAAGTGTTTTCGAGTCTGAAATCGAGTGGAACGCTTTTAGGGACATTGCCTCTTAATTAAAATCGGACTAATCACAAACTGCGCAAGAAACTAGCCAATCAAAAACGCCGACATATGTCCTTGCGACTCTGCGGGAAGCGAACACGATATTGTGCACTAATTCGCAGACGCTCTATACAGAAGGTTTAGAGCGTCTGCGATGCAGGCAAGCCTCTATCGTGTCGTGCTAAGAAAATCTTAGCTGATAGCCAACCGAATCCAATACCACCTGCTTATCTCCAAGTACTAGTATTCATTTATCCACAGTGTTCTTCTCTGGGTCACAGATGACATAAAAAAATGTGGCAAGAACAAAAAAAGTGGCACACAAGCCACAGGCGAGTGTGTTACTAATTCGCGTCTTGAATGCGCCTTTGTGAACTATAGCTGAACAGAGACAAGGACACGTTTGATAGAGAAACAACAAACTTGTTTTGTAGCGCTCGACAATTGGTATTATTATTCATTCAAAATATTTCGCCGTTTCTGATTGGCTCCAATCTCCCAGCTAATTCTTCATTAGCAACAAGCGCATACCATATTTGCCGGGAAGATGCGAGCAATATACCATTGCTTCGATGGCATATTTGATTGGAAACGAGGCTGTTTGGGCAAAAGTGAGCTAAAAAACTGGTGTTCACGGCTATTTGAAGACAAAATAGCTGAACTTCTGGAATGAATGGAAGAAATATAGAATGCGCAAAACATATTGCTCCATGGATTTTATCTACTTTTTTTAGGAGTATCTGCAAGATAAAACGTGTATACTTTCTGAAACCATGCTGAGAAAAGGGCCAAAGTTTTTAAGAACTTCTACGAGGAGGTAACATAACATATATCATAATATAACAACTTTATTTAAGTGTGGATGTCTTTAACTTATAAAAGCTAATTGGGACACTAAAATAATAGGGGGAAAAAAAGAAAAAGAAAAATACAGTGAAACCTCTAAGCGGACCCCCAATTAAGCGGACCCCCAATTAAGCGGACACTGAACTGAATTGACAACTATAGTATTGGATTACGTCCTTGAAATACGGACGGAAGTCAGTTAATGTTTTTGCATTTACAAAAAAATTAAAGTTGGTAATGAAAGGTAATGATCTTGAACTCTGGATAGCTTCTTTAACAACATGCAACTTTATCACAGTACAGAGTAACCGTTGAATGTTCGTCGTTAACAAACATTGCGCAATTTTTACAACCTCTATTAAGCGGACGCTTGGGAAGGTCTCGAAGGTGTCTGCTTAATAGAGGTTTCACTGTAATAAAATGAGTTTATACATGGTATCATTAGGTAAATTTATAATTCTATAAAATCTAACATTTATAAAAGGCAGTACAATTTAAAAGTTAAAAGATTACGGAATTACCCCCACTAAAATATGCAGAAAAATGCTAAAAATATTTCTACTGAGTCTCAAGAACTACAAATAAGATAACAGCCACAATTGTCACAAGATCCACAAGGTTAATACGCAGTATGCTGAACTTAAAGGACATTTGCGGAGCTTAAAACCCTAAACGTGCACTATCGAAGGTGAACTTAACATCGATGGAGGTAAGCATGTTTTAGCTTTGTTTTTAGACCAGGAATTATTTTGAATGAATAATAAAACAATTTTTGAATTCGTCTTTCGTATCATATGAAGAATTATGGAGATCTCGGAGGGTGTTATCCGCCTCGGCCTACGGCCAGGACGGATAACACGCTCCTCGATCTCCATAATTCTTCATAAGATACTCAGCCTCATTCATTAATTGTTAATTAATTAATATTCAGGAGGCATGGTGTCCAATAGCGACCGTATTCACGATACCCGCCTTCTTTGCACGCGCTGAAGGACTGATGGGATAAAGGTAATGTCACGTGGTTTCTCAGGGGGCAAACAAGTGAAAAAAGCTGTCAATGTAAGAAATCACGGTCAAGTTAGTTAATTCTAAACAGCTCTAGACAACAGAAAGTGAGGACCTTTTCAACTCAAAGAAGATAATGGCGGGGGAAGTTGTGTGTGGAAGTGATCATTGTTTCTTTTCTGAATGCAGTAGCGACCGTAGATGTGCTCTCAGGTAGCAAATACCGTATTTATTCGATTAACCGCCCTGGACGCTTATTAAATTTTTGGACCTTGAGAGTGGGCGCTTATTCGAGGTGGGCGCTTATTCGAGGCTGGGCGCTTATTAAATTTTCAACATTTTCAGCAAGTGTATGTGTATTTTGCAACAAAACAATAAATGGTAATAACAAAACGCGAAGACGTAACAAAGTAAGGTTCCTGTAAAATACTTTGAAGAAAACTCCGTCTTCGGGAAAGTCTCTTATTAGTAATTATTCAGTTTTAGGGGTGGTCGCTAATTTGAGTTTGAGTGGGAGTGGGAGGAAGGTGTGGTGGGGTGGGCGCTTATTCGAGGCTGGGCGCTTATTAACTTTTTCTGCCTTTAGGATGGGCGCTTATTCGAGGTGGGCGCTAATTCGAGGTTGGGCGCTTATTCGAATAAATACGGTACTGACGTAAAACTTGAGGAAACTCGAACTATACATTTTGCAAGACTAAGATCGTCGCCTTGTTTTGAGAAAATGAACAAACTCGACCGCAATTACTCGTGATAATTTGCTCTCTGAAATACCACGTGACATTACTTTACTTTCATCCCATCAATTCTTAAGCACGTGCAAAATTGCCTTGTATGGATCGTGAATCAGGTCTATTGACTTCACGAATTTAATCAAGTGTAAGCACCTTTATAGAGCGTTTTCACTCACGTGGCCAGCATCTATGCAAATTTATTGGAAAAAAAGAATACGTTTGCGTAAGAAAAGAGTTCAACTACCACAGGACTGGTTTGGGGCCCTAACATGGTCGTCGTTTAATTGTTTTGGGACACTAATATGGCCGCCGTGACGTTATGTGAAAACACTCTATACCCGGTAAAACTCAACAAACTTATACGAGGGCTTTGAATTCAGCCTCATGGGCAATACGGGGTTGAATAACTCCTAATTTGCAAATAAATTAAAATAAAAAGGTTTACAAAATATCTACTAGAGACAAAAAAAATCACCCTAAAACGAACCAAACACCGTCGACCGATCCGAACGTACTCTAAAATGAAATACAGTGCGAAGTTTTTCAGAGGGAGAAAACACCATATCAAAATAAACTGACCACCGGATTCAAGAATAAGTTGATAAAATAGTTTGCAAACAATTTTAAAAATTCTTACCAGTTTGCACTTTCCCTAAAGTTGTCATTTCCAATTACTTTGCGTTGCAGTTAGATTTAGCGACACTCTCCGAGAGCATTTTTTTTCCTCTTGTGAGGATTGATTCGACGAAGGCACAAGTAGACGTTTCAATGTGTTCACACGTGTTCTCTTACATATTTATTTCAACACCTGTCTCGTCGAGATACGATACTTTACTGAAATAGGTCGAGGATTTCATCTATCCGTAGGCTCCTAATACCTCAAAACATCTACACTGTTATGAAACATTTTTTAAAACAAAACAAATATGTTAAAGTACAGATCTGATCTCAGTGGCACAACAAGATGTTCAGTTGAACACTGGCAAAACTAAGAGTAAACCGCTGATAACGCCGTTAAAGAAGCCCAAGCAACTAAGACGCAGGGTAACATTTCTTGGAGGAAGAAATGGCAGAGGGGAAAGAACACGTATAAATCCCACTAAAAGGAGAAAGTTTGTTGCATATTAAATAATAGGTTTTTCCCTTTTTTCAGAGAACAAAGCCATTTTGCGAGTCAGTGGTTTACGCCACAGGCTTTTCAGGGGGCTTTCGAGCAACACGCTGGCTACCTGTAGGTACCAGTAGGTACTGCTAACAGTCACCTGCTAAACTCCAACTCCTAACTCGCTCACTGTCTAACAAGCCAAATGAGTAGCCGTTGTCCAAAGCTGAACATGTTTCAGTTAGCTGACTGTGGGACTAGAAACAAGGCAAACGCGGTGTGTTTTATGAGTTTGGTATAACTGATGTAGACATGCAGCTCTGATCGGCAAGAAGCTACAAAAACCCAGGCTACAAACCAATGTCTGTCGCGTAGATAGAGTGGCAATTACGCAGCAGACAAGTGACGCGAACGACTTTATAAACGGTATAAGTCATGCGAGAGAGAAACCTTTGGTCGAAGGGTAACGAAAACCTATAAAACGCTGATTAATCATTTCTGACCTCCCAAAGACGACCACCTGTCAGAAACTCACATCTGACAATGGAAAGCAACGAATATTCAGACATAACTAAATTTGCGAGCTCACCATAATTCAAGTACGACTAAAGACATACGATAAAAACAGGAAAAAACCCATGTGGACAAAATCCTGACTAAACTTGGTCCACTTAATGAAACAGTAACGAAACTTCAAAGATGAGAATCTTAAGAAAAACCTTTAACATGCACTTTTCTGTGGAAGTTGCTCTCAGTCCCACTTTCGCGCACTAACACGTGCAAAAACGCTAGCGCTGGCTACGTAGGATAGGCTAGGCCTGTCCACAACAGCAGAACATTATGACAACATCTGCAAGAACGCTTCCGCGAAAATAGTTAGCGAGTAGCAAGCATGAATCTAGAAAGCTTCAGTGTTGCCAGTATTTCCCACGAGATTCAACGTAAGGCGCTCGCACATGTGTAGTCTCTCGTCTTACAAGACTAACATGTTCAACAATAGTTATATATTTGATGGCTTCATGGCGTCAGGCCAATAACTCTTAAATATTTTTCCTAGATCGTTATAATAGGCCTTATCACGGTTTTCGACGCCATCTTGATGGGTAGGCAAGCAGGCGTAAAATTACAGTGTTTGTAAGAGAATCCGATGTCGAATAATCTTCGTAAAACGTCGGTTTGGAAAAAAATATAAATTGTAAACTAAAGCTACAAGGTAGAGGATTCTACTGACAAATTTTGAGGGCTGTATCCGCACTAAAACGTTCTCGATAGCTTTTTAGATTTTCTATACATTTGTCTATAATTTTTCCCGGGAAATTTAGCCGGCGAGAAAACATTTTTACAGACAAATATATTGGAAATTAAAGGTCATTAAAAGAAGTGATTCTAGGGCAGGTGAGGCCCTCGAATTTTGTGAGAAGAATCTTTTGTCTAATAACTTTAGTTTACATCTCATAGTTTTTTCAAAACGGACGTTTTACGAAAATTATTCGACATCGGATTCTCATACAAACTCTGTAATTTTACGCCTACTTGCCTACCCGTAAAGATGGCGTCGAAAACCGTGAAAAGGCCTATTGTTTTAAATTGTATTTAGATGATACCTTCGTTACCTAAATTGTTTATTACAGGATATATTTCTAAATGTTACTATAATTTGATAGGCAGATTTCTTTTCTTTCTCTAAAAATTTATCAGCGAGGGAATCTTTCTTATCTCATTTCTTTAAACGCATTCGCTTTTCGTTTTTTCAACAAATGACCGCACATCGGGGAGAAGCAGAAGATCTTACCTCAGCTAGCTGTTGTCCCAAACTGACTTTCCACTAACTCTTTCTTCTTCCAGTTTACGTGATGATGAAGCTTGACTTTGAACTGCTTCAAACTAGTGAATATTAAACATTTGCGGGTGAAAACAAGAAGCTTCATAGCATAAATATATAATAAGGGTTTTTCCCCTTTTTCCGGGAACACCCAAATACCATTATGCATGGTGTCTTGATTGACAAAAGAATATTAAGAAGGTATTAAACTTTTAAGAGACAGTCCGCGTAAGAACTATCTGCGTGCAGTGGTTCCTCCAGGCCGGACGCTACGCTACAAAGAGAACGGAAACCACTGCGATCGACCGTTTGCTTCTTTCATTGTGCCGTCGTCCAGCACCATGGACGAATAAGTTAACTTTGATTTGCTTACACTTATAACTACTGCTTTAACGCGAGCCAGCTGTAAATAAGTGCTCTTTCAAAAGGGTGCGCTTCTTTAATAAAATCTATACGTCAACTGTTTGACTACACTGCTCATCTCTACACAAGGGCACCCAACGACAATTTTTGGAAAATATCTGTTCAGAAGACGATTTAAGATCTAGAATTTTCGAAACATTTGTTGTTAAATATCTTGCTTGCGTACCTCTCCTAGGATTTTCGAACCACCCCAAAAATGGTATAATTGCCCATTTTTAACGGATTTTTACCCTAGAAAGTTCACCTAGAATTTTCGGGAGCCTTTTTTCTGGCTGAAAGTTTCGAAAAGGTAAGTTTTGATAACTACAATTTTCGGATCATTAGACTTTCAGCTAGCAAATCCGAACAGATGAAAAATTCTTAGGGGATAAAAATATGCCTATATCTACAGTTTAAATACTAAAATACGTTCAACAATGCCATGTTTAAGTGGTTTTGAACTATTTTCTCGTTGGGTGCCCCTGTCTACAGCCATTTTTGAACCCGAGAAGTGGATTAAGCGACCGATTTTATCCGCCTTTGTTATCGTAGTTGGAAAACCGCAATACAAACAGGACCTGCAATGTTCTAGTTCACCAGGACAAAACTGCTACACAACTTCGCTCTCGCGTCTTGTAAGGCTTCACTTTTCTAATACATATCTTATTGCAAGACTCGTCTTCATTTGGCCCGTCTGAAGGAAGCAGTATCCTTGAGCTAATATTCAGAATACAATAAAAGCCCAGCAAAATTGCAACATTGTTAGTGGGCTTGTTATTCTTTCTCCCGGCGGTCCGTCGATATTGTGGGTCGTTCCTACGAAAACGAATAAAAAAATAATCCTTTTTTGGATACATCGTTTCTTTTCTCAACGAAATCCTAACGATCCGGACTTTTGATCTGATCTTTGATTTTAGTAAAGAAACCCACCCAAAATGAATGATTTTCTAGTAATCGGAGACCTTTGTTATGCCCCCAGGATTCTGTAATCGGCGAGGGCAAACATTGTCCGCCCCCGGGGTCGGTCCACGAATTCTATCGCTTGAAAGTGGTGATTACTTCGGAACGAGTTATTACTTAAGTGGTCGAAAAAAAGAACAATCTTAATGAGAAAAAACTTTGAAGTTTACTGGAGATCGTGGATCGGGGATCGGGGATCAAGGATCGGTTTTTTTTAATAAAAATAAAATAAATAAATCTTGGATTGTGGTGCGGATGTGGGCCGCAGACTGTAGACAAATTTCGCAGAAAAAAACCCGGTTCGCTGTACTGAGCACTATAAATTTAAGTAAAGTACTCCGAGTCTGACTGAGTCAGTGATTATTTTGACGAGAAAGTGAAATTTTCCTGGAAAATGAAACGCTTTATCCCAATGATGGCCATAATCAAGAAATAATGAGCTACAGCTCATTCCCTCTTGCTATGATAAAATGCATTATGCAAGTTACCATATGAAAATAGAAGCCACAAGAGAAGATTTATAATTCGAATTTACGCGGAACGTAATACCTTCTTTAATAGACTTATTTTCTATTGAATGAATGATATCTATAAAACTATTTAAAACTAAGTAGTGGCAAATGTTAAAAATCAGCCTCTTTGTAGCGGCGTTATAGCGGTTCTCAATGGGCCAAAATCTCATACGTTAACTGTAATTTTAGCCGTTCTCCCCCCCCCCCCAACCAAGATGGCGTCATCAGCGTCATAAACCGTGAGAAGGTCTATTGCCTAATTGGTGTCGGATTCTCATGATCAATAATTACTGCGACATTCGCTTTAAGGGTTGAAGTCTCAGTCATGAAGGTTTTATCTCCTTTTCTTGATCGCGACAATCTCACAAGAAATGGTTTACGGCTCTCCTATTTCCTATCTCGTTTTCTGCTCAATGAACCCCGCTAGTACCTCATGAGGTAGCACGAATAGACGGATTTTACCTCAGCAAGATGTCCCAAGTTGATTTCCCTAATGATGAACAATATGCTAGAGGTGAAGGCCCTGAGTGTAGCTTCTAAAACCAGTTGACGAGAGTTCGAAATCCTTTTCCATTTGACAGATTTTGCTTTCAACTGATGAACAACGAATATAAAAATATAAACAAGAGGTTTAGCAGAATATATTATCATAGGTAATTAGGGCTTTTTCCCTTTTTCCTACAACAATGCTAACTTAATTTTTCATGCTAGGCAACTAAAAATAACTTGAAACTCACACCAGGGGTAGGCCTAGATACAAATATCCGGATATTTTTTAACCCTAAGACATATTTAAAAAATCTCATGATATTTAGGAAAAAATTGTGATATTTTAGAATTTTTTGAGAAAAAATACTGCCATCATGTTTTTTTCTAGGAAGCTACTTCAATGCAAATGAGGGCATGGGCATTTCAGTGACAGAAATTCAAACAATTCTCCACATATGGGTCTGTTGTAATCAGATTCAGCAATATTCTCCATTTATAATATATACAATGTGGCTAATGTTCAACAAAATGGCTGATGACGTACCCTCTGAGCCACGCACAAACCAAACAGTAGTATCCCTTTTAGACCAATTTAGACCTCCAGCACCTAATGGTCTTTCATGAACTCTGCCTGTATTTAACTGCAGTGATCTAGTCTTCTTGGACGCTGACGGATACATGACTGTAAATAAGGCTGACTTTATGTGGAATTGTTTAGAGTTTTTCTGTATGCTGTACAAGAGTAAAATTTCCTGAAATTTGCTGAAATTTGTGTTGCCATTTTTTACATGACAGGCTATATTTTTGTGTTTTTACTACAATATTTATGAAATGAAGGCAAGTATTTTTGAGATATTTAGAACAAAAATCGGGAATTTCCGGAAACATATTCAGGCGATTTTTGTGATATTTGTACCTACAATTGTAGGCCTAACCGGGGCCTTAAACGACGGTTTCCACCTAAATGCATTGAAAACATTACGTTATTCAGCCCTGTCGCGCGCGAGAAAAAAAGCCTCTGGTACCCAGGGTAATTTCCCAAGCGATGATGAGAGCTACTGAAAAGTCGCCAGAAAGCACTGATAAATCTTTTAAATCAATTTTTTAACGAAATGACACAACTTGCTTTCATGTCAAATAAAGCAAATACCAAACACTTGCTTAAATTTTTGAAAACTGGATTAGCAAAAATATCAACTCATTATACTACATGCCAATTTAAAAGAATAAAACTCATTTAAAGGCCGATTAAAAGTCATTTCAGTCTAGAAATTTTTAAGTTGAGTGAACTGCAGCGAAAGAGTGCCTGGTTAAGGCTTGCATAACAACTTAAATGGTTAGCAAAACACTACTTTTTTCGCGGTTCAATAAACAACGCGATTCCGCATGGGATAGACAACAACCTGCACAAATTATCACTTTCCTATCTTCAAAAATCGGCCTTGGTTCAATGCCATTAGAGCCCGCTGAAACTAGACCTAGATCCAATTTTCCTGATTCGAGAGAGTCGCTTTTCCAAGGTACAATCAGCTAAGCTAAACGCCGACGAAACAATATAGGTGGTTTTCAGGCAATCTCAGGAGACACAAATAACAATGGTGAAATGAACAAATGCTGGTGGACAAACAAAACGAGCTAATGAGCGATCTTTTGTTTACCGTCCACCAGCATGGCGGCGATGACGTAACGTGAAAACCGCCTATTAATGGCTGGCACAGAATATTTTGGCCAAACCGTAGTTCAACCACGCGATCCGACATACCTGTCAACACCATGCGCAAATCACACAATCACACACTTTCGCGGCACTGATAAGACTATCCACAACCACGCATAATCTTCTCACGTTTAATATAAGCGAAATGTCATCGAATAACTCGGAAAAACGTAGCCTCTTGCCAGATAAACACCTCTGGACTTTTCTATTACACTCGTCTTATTCAAGTTCCCGGATGTAGAGACAGACGCTCGGCGGATCACCTTAGCCTTCAGTTTTCACACCAGAAAAAAACGAAGTCTTGGCCCGGGTCAAAGTGCACCTGCAATTTTGCTCTCACCTAATTCATTTGACCCCTAAGAGCCTGTTCCCGAGGCCAAAGACTTAGTGGTCACCTTAGAAAAGCGAACAATATCGTACTTTTCTGTCTCAGCCCGGATCAGTGAAAATTGATCCGTTTTAATAGCCAAAAGAAACGAGAATATAATACGATATTGGACGATGCAGAGTCCGTGAATCGTAATAACTTTGTCCCATCTCAGGGCTTTTCATGATGCTCTCCGGGAAACTTTTCTCAAGGTCACCAATATCTAACACTAAACTGCTAAACGGCACCGTAACTAGCTAGCTTTCCAGGCGTCATTTCAAATAACTGTCACTTGTGTTGTGGGTAGGGAAAAAAACAGGGAAGCGGTGGGGGTAAGATAGTAATTCTTTCGACATCCACTTCTACACCAATACCTAACCACAAAACAAGCAAAAAAAACGACATAAGCAAACAACACAATAAACAAGCTAGACATATAAAATTCTGCAAGCAGAATACTGCAATGCTGATCGTACTACGTGAAAATTAACTCTGAAAGACATCAACACGACACCGAAAGAACTCAAAACAGAGCTGGATTGTAGCCATAGACAGCTTTTTCGCCCTTTTTGGGGCTCGTCAGTATGGCGCAACAACCAGAGAAAAAGTCTGATGAAAAATATCTGCGCACTCTGATTTTAAGCTCTGGCCCAGAACTCTCAACACCCACAGAACCACGCCATACCACGTGTCTCCTGGAGGGCAAGAGTAAACAAGCTATTAGACCGGGGAAGTTGAGAAAAATTACAAAATGTTTGCTAACCCGGTTTTCATAACTCCAGGCATATATATAATCACAAATAATTAGGGTCTTACCAAGAGCCATAATTGGTTTTACCCCTTTTCCGTGAACCGGTGGAATCAGTAGGGAGCCGCTGGTTGAAGTCACACGATAATTACCTTTGGGAGCTAGAATTCTGTCATAATCCGAGCGAAGCACATTAGCGAAGGTGTTGCAATTATTCTTAGCTGAGTGATGTTAATATGTCACGTCATTGCCATATTAAGAATAAAGATAAGTTGACTCGTCCCCAGTCGTCTCTCTCTCTGTCTCTCGGCCTTAGTGGCGCGATGGGTGTGATAGGAAGGAGGAAAGCGTTCAACCGCAGGCGAGTGATTTCACTGCAAAGTTTTGAACATTTTATGACGTCATTTCAATGGTCTATACTCTCATACACCATAGCTCTCGACCAATCAGCGCCCGAGGATTCGCTAAGTTATTGTAAATAGTGTTTGGAAGTCAGGTAAAAAACTGCCCCTTTTTGCATCCTTAATTTCTCCTTCTAAAAATCATTTTGTTTGAGAAGTAATATCAATCATTCGGCACATTCGAAGTTCGTCAAAAATACTCCGCTGCGTGTCGTATTTTCAACTCTCTTCTTAGTGTACTGTTTTATCTGCTGATGAAACACTCCGTCTCATGCTTGATATATTTCTTCCAATATGGAACCTCTAGTTATTATCATTTATTATTTTTCATTTTTTTTTTAACTCATCGAAACCCGAAACGATATCATAAATAAATCGTACGTGTTGATTAAACAGATTGCAAAATACACAAATATAAACACACAAATACAAACAACCATATCCACCAGGGCCCAGATGTTCGAAGGCCGAATAGCGCTAACACAGGGTTAAAGTTTAACCAGGGTTTCCTTCTCGTTTGTTCAAAAGCATTTTCCCGGATTATTTTCTCTATTCTTTTTAGGCCATCCAATCATTAAACTGTAGACAAAAATAATAACACTGATTTTGCTTTTTAAGCTTTGATATCTAAATTCAAATTTTGCACTAACCCTGGGTTATCCTAACCCTTCTTTGAACAACCCAGCCCTGTAGACCACATTTATGTTTGTTGTTGAACCATGTATTTCATTCTTTTACAAAGTTCTCGTTCTAGCGTACCACGTTGTTTCCGAGCAAGCTTTATCGATTCAGGGGGTAGGTTGAAGAGGAAAGGAATTGTTGGCCCCCTTCCCCCTACCCCAAATTAGTAAGCGTTCGATCAACTTAGTAAAGAGGCTTTGTTAGCCACTCATTTTCAAGTCATTGTCATTCACTTTAGAAAGCTCAGGTAAGACATACTCTCTACCATGGAAAACGGAATTAATGGAGCATAGTTTATTGTCCCAGACCCGAACACATTGCTCCATCGCTCTTAATATGATTTGAAGAGCTACCCAGTCGCCGTCACGCCAACAAGAGGTGAATATCTTTAGTTTCTCACTAGCTATATCTCAGACGATCGTGTTGTACAACTGCTTTAGGGACTGCGTTTTTCTCTTGTCAGCTTTCTTAACGCGAGGCTGTGACAGGCGGACTCTCTGGGGAACAAATGTCCTTGCGTTACGTGTTCAGTTGACAAGAGCTACGGCTGCTTTACAACTAATCCTTTGCGAGGCGGGATACAGGTCTCCAGTGCAAATCGCCACTCCTCAGTCTCATGAAATTTCAACAGAATGTCAAAAACTGAAACAAATGAGAACAAAATGGATACGATACAATTATATCACATGTTATACAAAGAGCCAGAAGAGCTGCGTGACGACACAAATAACAACTGTGCAGGGCACTACAACCGAAACACTCTGCTCGCAATCATTGTGCAACTACGTTACCCAGGAGGGCCACTAAATTCTCTACTGGGTGGTTTAAGTGATCACTTGAAGGACAAACATTGAATGAAAATATATAAAACTAATTTACAAATATTAAAGGGTAAAAGCAGTAAAAAAAAAGAAAAAAGGTAAAAACGGGTAAAAAAAAAATATATAAAAAAATTATGAAATGGGAAAGCTATCTAAGCCAGCATAACTATCCTTTATAAAATTACAATAGTTTTGTTTGAATGCGTTAATACAGGTGCTAGATCTTATATTAATGGGTAGAGAGTGGCAAAGTTTTGCGGCAGTAACAAG